GACGTTTATCAATTCTAATGGTATATTTAAACTTAAGTCTAATTGATATCTTACCTGCATTCCTCAATTTTCTAACTCTTGCATGTAATGCAATGTGATGTAAGAGGTTAAAAAGCACCCCAACTTCATAGTGAGATCAATGTGCGTGCGATTTCTCTTCACTAAATAAATACGTTTACCATCATGATCTATAAGTCTTCCTAAAGGTCACGTATTGTATTGTTTACATGGCCTGTGTGATAAGTAATTGTTTCATTTAATCCCTGTGTTTTATGAACTGGCTCAATAGTAAGTTATCGATTAAAATATAACATTTCTCTGCTTCTAAGCACCGCTTCCTGTAAACATTGTCTCAACAATAGTAAACTACGTTAACGTATTAAAGTATTTCTCCATATAATGTTTTCCTAAAGGCTCCAGTTACAGTTTACTGGGCATGCGCTTCCTTACCTGATTATTACAGTAAAAAAGGTTATCTTCTTTTGGATTTAGATCACGTGGTCATCTTACCTGGTCATTATCTTATACCTGTCCATCTAAGTAAATTGTTTATGGTTGTCATCGTGACTAGTAGCTAGAGGAGAGGGTTGATCAATATGGCCTAATCTATCATTCCAAGCAACCAAGATTACTGTCTATTACTAATTGAACTATTAGTATGGCTTACTTACTCACACTACTGTTATAAACACTGCTGATTCATCTTACCCTATAGTGGCTTTACCGTATGGTCATGTTGTGTGTTCACGTAATATACGGTTATTTACAATCAAACCGGACTCACAACACCTTATGATTATCTTAGTGGTAAAGCTATGGTTAAACTACTAAAAATAACCGTTAATTATAATGGTGACTAATGGACTTGTACGCACAAAGCAACCTGGTTGACTAAAATTAAACGGACACGATTAGAAAGATTGTATAAAGATAAAAAAAATATTTTTATACCTGTAAACATTTTGGGACAAAATATAATTCACCATAGATCTTATAACGGGCAACCAAATTCGAAGTCCACAATACAATTAATGAACGTATCAAAATAACTGTGACTTTAGTCCATCGACGCAAAGAGCTTATGTCAAACTCCTTATGGATACGTCGTTCGTACTTTATCATTATCAGATTATTCGAGACGACTGGATTCTCTCCACGTATGTTCTAACCTAGTAATAATACAGGATGTTTCAAATTAAGGTCATTCATTGTATTTTAATTATTACAACATTTGGCTTATTAATTTTCTTCTTTATTATACTGCAGAAGTATATAGTTCATCAAAGTCCAGGTCTGCACAGCTGCATAGCATGTTCGATGTCCTTTACACTTTACAGACACTATTTCTTGTCAACCCCTCTGTCCTGTACCAGTCGCAATAGGTGCACTATTCGAGGCTTTGAGCAAGTAAAATTAAAGTTCAATTTCAAAATTTTCAACACATATCATCATAGTTTGCATGGCAATAAGTATTTATGTTACAAATAGTGATGAGTGGAACGCTGAAATCTTAATCTTATCTTACCGAACCGAACAGTTTTTCTGTATTTTCGAGTGACATGATATCACGTGATTCTGGTTCGGAGGCCATTTAAAATGAACAGAAATTTTGCATAGCAGTTGGGTTTAATCAAATCGTATAATTATACGGTAAGGTTCCACCTTTATTCAATGGGAATTGGTTTATTATATGCTAAGCTATGTACAGACAGTACAGTAGGCCTACAGTTTGGGGTCAGTGTAGGCCTAACTGGAAATTAAGCGAGTTATAGGCCAGTAACTTTTTTGTAGTCAAATGACTACAAAACTTGCTCAAAGGAAGGCCTTAAGAATAGGACGGTCTACTACTGTGGCTGGAGCAAGATGGAAGACATCAGTTAGTAGTGGAACCATTTCTACACTGACAAGTCATCTGCTGAGTCGCTGGGCTTGCTTGAGTTTCCCATTAATTAACGAAAACCCCATTTTATTTTTATTTAAATTACCTGAATTGACAACTCATCTTGATTTTCTGATTTATTACTGGGAACAACTTTCTTCTCGTCCTTCGAAAACTCCGAAGTCTCGCTTTTCGAGGAAAGTATCGCCGATGTTGAGGCTGAGCCTGAGGTGGGTCTTCCCAACGACAACGTTATGAACTCACCGCCCAGTTCGTCACGGTGACGGTAAACAAAAATAACAAAAATGGTTTGACCAGTCGCTAAAATTAGAAATATAATGGACAGGGTAATGTTGTTTGTCTGAAAATTACCAGCTATTGCATCCGAGAGTAGAATACCCATCGAAAAACTTATTAATATGATAACTGTAAGAATGAGAACAAAAAACGTAACGTGAAAAGCCATTGCTGCTAACAGTCAATGGTAGTTACCGGCCTTTATAATGTAGTCACGATCTCACAGACTCAAAATATCTCATAAGTCCGTAAGATTATATAAACGTAATTTAGCTATGTAGCCTACATGTAGGCATGGGGTAGGGGGTAAGAAATATTCTGAGTGCTGCTCTAGATATCTTGATATACCAAATGCTCAAATAATACGTTATTGAATCAGAAGGTAGATACGTGTTACAGATACGTCAAATTTCAATATTATTAATATTTATTAGCCAACTATTACATAGGCCCTACCGAGAATATTTCTAAATTGATTACATGTATACGTATATTATAATCGCATCAAAACCGTTTTGATGATATACTTTATGTGTATAATACGTAGCCTACCAAATAGTACCAAATAATAGCTCCTATATTAATAATGCCTAAACCAATAGCCTACGAATTAGACCCTACATTGTATCATAGAACTGTACTATTATATACGATCTATGATTGTGTAGCCTAACATAGGTCCAAGGGGCATTAAACATATATATGCGTTTTGTGTAGTAGGCCTTTTAACTTATTTTCTGAAATTCAAAAGGCCCCTTGATCTAGTAAATAGAGATATTTTATTGCACAGAGCATGTTTATAGACTACGTCTTAAATACGGAATCAGTGAGTTGAAATCTAGGCTATTTACTTACCCTTTCGTTTGATTTTCAAAAACTTAATGTAAATGCACCACTAATATGACAGGAATTTCTGACGAAAAATGAAGCAGATGAAATGTGACTTTTGGCATGATTATATGATGGGCATTTCCCGACATAACAGTGTGTGTGTGAAATAATTTTATTTAAGGTCCGGTTCCACCAAGTGATATCGCAGACAAGTCTCGACATAAGAAAATCAACAACTTTACATTACTGAGTGAAACTTAGGTGCATGAGTCTTGTCGAGGCATAGCCGTCCAGGCTAGTGGACCCTGTCTGCTGGAAACGGTCGGCCAGTCTCAAGATGGTATAGTGTGGTGGCATTCAAACCTTCGGCGACCGTGGTAATTATCCTCTTTGTAGCGGTCCCAATGTTCAGGTGTCAACCTTTGCATTTCGTTGTGTCTTCCACATAACAGAAGTGTAAGAGTTGTACTACCTTTTTTAAAATTTATTTTTATTCGCCGACATTTTCATGTGTACGTATATTTTCGTCGCCCCAGCCCACCCTGCCGTCCACAATGCGCGTTTCTGACCGTAACTTTCCAGATTATTGTCCCTGATTGCTCCGAAAAATCCCTTTTTCAGCTTGTCCTCTGTCCATCTCCTGCAAAATGTGGGCATTACATGTAGTGTTCGGCACGAATATTCGAATATTCGAATATTCGCACGTCGAATATAATATTCGAATATTCGAATAGCAATTACCATATTCGAATATTTTCGAATATCTATTATTTATTCTATTTGCTCTCAAATATGATTAAAGGCGACTTCCCTTGCCACATTTACATTCAACGCTTACTTAGATTACAAAACCGCAGCTTGTAAGGGTGCTACCCCTACACAGATCTACCGTCTTCAGAGACAGTTATTCGGTAAGTAGCTTGTTACTTACTTTGGTTAGCCAGTTAGATCCGCGATGGAGTTGGCTTTCTTGACCATAGAGGTGTATATATTGACAATATATACACCTCCATGGTCATGACTAATATCACATCAAGGCTAATCTTTGGAACCACACGAAGTTGAAACATGGCTACGTAGCTCCAGATACTTCCTCTGCACGGGACGTGGGGTCAGGCAAGATTCAGACAATTAAAAATTTCTACACAAGTTCTTCAGGCAACAGCAAGAACTATGCAAGATTCAGCGCAGCAAAAAACATCAGTGAGAAATTGATCAAGTTTGTAGCCAAGCATTATCAGCCCCTGTCTCTTATTGACAATGACCATTTTCGGGAATTGGTAGAAGCCCTGAATCCATCACACCATTTGCGGTCAAGTAAAACACTCAAAAAAAGAATGGAAGAAATCTATGATGCCGTTCGTTCCGACGAACGTCAAATCAGGGTCATTCAGGAATGACCCAAGTCAGAAGTTATCCCTGTGACCACAGATGTATGGAAATCAGATGAACAAAATGAGTCTTGCATTAATTTAACCGCTCATTTTGTATATCCAGATTGGGAGATGGTGGCTAAGACTCTGGAAGTGAAATCATGTCCAGGTTCACATACCTCGGATAAACTAAAAGAGCATCTGACAGAGATGGCACTGGCAGATGACTGGAGAATGGTTGAGGTCCGCGTCTACTTGATGCGATGTCATGGAAGACCGAGGTCTTGTGTACAAATTGGCAGTTTACGTAAAAGATCCACTGGCAATTGCTAAAATATAATCGTGTCACATGTCAACAGAAATTTCACGTATTTCATAATTAATTAGAAATTGTTATAAATTGAATATAAATCACTTTAAATATATTTATATTAAAAGTTGAAAATATTCGAATAGTATTCGAATACTATTCGAATACAAATTTCAAGACCCGTCGAATATTCGAATAGTATTCTTGTTCGAATATCCGAACACTAATTACATGTATGGTAAAAGCTTGTTTTGTGTGTTTGAAATAATTTATCATTAATGCATTTACGTGATGTCGAAAATCATTATCGCGTGTTATTATCATGATCTGTGTATGTAACATTCAGCATTGCATAAAGAATATCTCTCAAACGAGATTTACAGTTTACGACCATAGAGGTGTTGTGTTATCATTGCACCTCTGCATATAAATCCCAAACAGAGTTAGCAGTAAAACATAGAAGAATTTTCTCCCTCAGGTCTACTACCAGTATAAATTCATGGATCCCGCTTGATCAGATATTCGCATTTATTTTTAATTTCGTTTATCACGGTTATAATTTCCCCATGGTGTAAAAATTTATTTCTAATTCTTTACTGCTAATAAATTATAATGATAATTCGATTTGGAAAAACAATCAAAGAATTTATTGCACTTCAAAACGAACGCCACGCCCCCTCTTCGAGATAATATATAATTGCCAACTATACAGTGACAGCCGATACGTACACTTAAACGCCACATTCTTTATGCGATAAATAAGTTCATTATAAATAATGGCGACAGGTCCGAATATCAAACTAACTGACGGTGAAGCTACGCCGGCACAAGTTGACGGTTCTTCTGATGTATTCACCTGTCCAAACTTTATATTGCTTAAAGCACGGTAAGTTACTTCATCTGGCCTATAATCATTGTTTAAATTTCGTAAAGTATCGGGTCATACTTTTCTCTTTATAGGACAAGGTAAGATTATATACGATTGCAGATATGAATCGCATTATGTGAAGGCATAGTATATGTTGTTTCAACTAAAGTCAAGTTTTAGTACGGACGGATCTAGACAGGACAAACAGTAGCTAAATAGGGCACATGGTTAGAGGAAATCTCGAGGACGCTCGAGTGTTCTACAAAGTTGGATGTACGCCTCCCTGCGCCATCTCGTCACTCTAGTTTACAATAATAGGTCTGTTTATGAGACTTCCTTGAAGTTTAATTGACTGTGATCCAATAAATACACCTCTGCTTTTCACAACACCTTTTTTTATGACCTTCCCTACACTTAAATTGAATTCGATGAAAATTAAGCTCATATGAAGGAGGAATATGAGTTTCTTATTAATGCCTCCCTTTGTTATAAAACTTTTATTTATCTATAGGTGGGTAAGCGACGATGAAGTTAGTATATGTGTGCTATGTGGAAGTAAATTTAATCAGATACGACGTAAGCATCACTGTCGACACTGTGGTAGAGTTTTGTGTAATAAATGCTGTAAAGACAAGGTACAATTATCACCTATAAATTGGTATCTATAGGCCTAATAAACTTATATCTTAATATAAAACGATTGAACTGTATTATAGCCTTTTTGACCTGCTCCATTTCTTTAAAACTCACAGAAAAATTAATTGCTGCATATATTTTGCTGTCCCACAATTTAGGTATACATGTATATGGAAAAGAATGTATAAATTGGTGTAAACCAATTGCCGAACTTGTGATCAGGTTCATCAGTAAATAATCAATGCTATATACATTTTGGTTTATTTTTTTCCACTCAGATAGCGCTCCCTCAACTAGGCATAGATGAAAAGGAAAGAGTGTGCGATTGGTGTAAGCCAATTGCCGAACTTGTATCCATGTCTAGATCAAGCTCATCGGTAATCACTTTGTTCAATATTTTTAATATGTATAATATATTTTTTGACAACTGACTGTGACTAGACATTGGATAGACAGTCCCAAAGCCCAAATACCAATCTGTGTAAAATCTGATGTCAATACGTTTCGTTTTTATTACGTGGACCAATCAAATGACCTGTACAGGGCTGCATCTTGTGGTGAATTATGAGAATTCCAAAACCCAAGCGTTTACAGTGGGTCTGATGGCGTTAAAGGAGCTAAATCGCTAATCTCTGGCACCTAGAAATGGACACAAATGGGTCGCAACGCATATAATAATGTAATATGAATGTATAAAACTGATTTACATTCAATCATTTTGTTTTTAATGTAAATTCTAATCAGTTATGTTCAGCGAAATAAGCGAAGATTCAGAATTGAATGGTAGTCTTTGGCGTCTGGTTATTCCAGTCTACACCGGTAGTATTCTCCTCCATGGGATATGTTTAAACCTCGTCCACCGAGTCGCTTAATACAAATAGCGCTCGAAAGCAATCTAGCACGCGATTCGTGTGCCAATTTCAAACTTTCATGTTGGATATCAGAAGCCCAACTTTTCGTTTGCCAATTGTAAATATCGACCACTTATTGAAGGAAAATGAAATCTATATTCATTTATTGGTCATAATTTTGTCTATAGTTGATTATGTAGTCTGGTAACCACGTCGATATATGGAGATAGATTTATGGTTATTCGATTAGTGTATAAAATGCTGATAGACTATGCCATCATCTTGAACGCACAGTTCTTCACAGAAACAAGGGCTAAGGTTTGTTCTGACCGCGTAATTTTATATGAAAAGTTTACACGGGTATTTAAAATTTTAACTGTTTTCATATATTTATCTGTGTTGATTTGATTTTATTTCTAACATTATTTTAAATATATTTAAAGGCATTAAAATTGGAGGCAGCTAAAGTTCTTTCGGGGTTCTGCAAGATTGAGAAATATTTAAATCAAGTAAGCACATACCTTTTTGATTGTCCATAAATAGTTTATTTTTTTTAAAAATATATAAAGGATATAAAACATAAGCTGGCTTGTGTGCATATCTAAGACAGAATATCCTGCAAATAACCACGAGTTGTCAACGAAATGTGCAAAAAGTTCAGGAATGTACACAAACGCGCACTTTTAGCTTATACAATTACTTTTTATTACTGATAGGAGTTGCAACTGGGATGCTCTTCTCAAACAAGTTAGCATTTCATCACAATTTCCGTATACTAAGGAATTGTTCCTGTATTATCGAGTTCAATTACTCTGATTTAATAAATAAAGAAAACAATGGTGGTCCACCTCCACTGCTTTGATATGGTGTTACCTCCCTTGAATCAGGCGCCGTGTTATGGTGTCGCGCAAAGATGATTAATTAGTTCAATGTTTTTTGACTTCTCCATGGTTATGCCTTTTCTTAGATACCAATCTTGTCGTTCGGATGTTCATAACTGACGAAAATTACAGTGCACGTAAAAGTTAAAAGACCAGTTGGCTCTTGGATTTGGATCTCGAGCAGCCCATACATGGGGCAAAATCACACATTTCACAGAGTGTGTAAACGAAGCAGGAAACCGAATTCTGTTCTATTTCATTCGGTTTCTTTTTTTTTCTTTTTTTATTTATTTATTTATTTTACGTATTTATTACAGATTGTACAGTTAGGTGGTATCCAAACTCTGGTATCTTTATCACTTGATGAATCCAAACAAACTATGGTAAGAGTTATAATCCGAATGGTTCGGGGCCACAATGGCTCAGTGAGTACGCTAGGTGCTGGCTCGCTAATCTGAAGGCCCCGTATACGATCCCGGCGTTGTTTCCCTTATCAGTGGTGCAGGACGGCTAAATCTTATTCGAAGTAAGAGTAAGTTGTGAGTAGCTTTTCGGGCAATTATTTAATTGGCATCGCGTATGTCCGTCTTCATTAGATTAGCCCGGATTTATCTATTGTTTAGTGGATAAAAGTAATTAAATATTATTTCTTAAAAGCCTTTATCCTCTGTGGTATGTAATACTTGTTCGGGGAAATACAAACTTTGGGTTTCCAGTGCGCAACAAAACACAGAATAGAATTGAAGTAATCTTTTTTTTTTCTTTTTTTTTTTTTTTTTTGGTGTATCCGTAATGACGTTGCTATATTTTTCATTTTAGTGGCATGTTATGGAGGGATTGCAGATATTATCTACCTACCCTCCTCTGCATCGGTTGCTAGTTGAAGTTGGGGCAATAAAAGCAATATGCAGGTAAAAACCAATGACATTGAATTCGGTGGGTATTACCTTCTGGAATCGCAGTGCATTGATGTCCAGTATAGATCCACATGTGCAAGAAAACATTTTTTATATCATATCAAGTAGAAGCCTGGGTGAACTGATTTAATGAATGGTCTCATTATCTAAAGCGCGTGTCCCACTACCCCACATTACAGGCACGACAATGTTACACAGTTTTAATGGTTTTAACAGTGCCTCAAGAAGAATATTTGGTATTAACTGTACTATATAATTATTGATTGTATTGTATTTTTAGCATTATATCGAGAACAAACGATCCCGATTCACCTGTTCTGTCGAGTGCAATCACAACCTTGATGGTATTCTGTAAGTCACCAGAATTGAGAACAAAGGGTTAGTTGGCATAGACCTTATTATATAGAGAATCTCCTACTCATCTTTTTTGATATCAAAAAATATCAACACAAGTCGATAAAGTAAAAAAAAAAGCCAACGAGGCGGTAGTATGATGAAAGCAATTGCTGTAAGCGAATCTTTCGGTTTTCAAAAAATATTTATTTGTTTCTTGTAATTTATTATGAAAGGCAGTAACTCTGACTAGACCTCTTTGATTTGAATAAACAATATGAACGTTTAAAATTTAATTTGATCAGTCTGCACAAAATAGACACGGACAGCGCTAAAGTTGAGTTATAACGGTTTTTGTGTTCAGCAATGCCAGTCGTCAGTTTAAGCGAAAATAAAACTCAATTTCGTAAACAACCCGACTTATCAGCTCAGTTGTTTGAAACGATTTTTTCGCTAATTAAAATAACAAATCGGTGAAACACAATGCAATACTTTATTTTAAGCTAAATCAAAGAGGTTTAGCTCCTTATAGATCTGTCATCATACAATACAAAAGTACAAAAAACAAACATTGTCAGCAGTTACAGCTAAGAAGTTGGACTTGAATATTCAGAGGATTGGAAAGATCAATATTAGTATGTTTTTCTTGCTTTTTTAGCTTTAGATGACGGTGTACTTGATGTTATTTTGAAACTCTGTTCTTCGCAGAAGTCAGAAATCAATCTGTTAGCTGTCAGTACTCTAAATTTGATTGTAACACAAACAGATACACATACAGCTATTGTTGACAGTCAAAAGCACGCCTTACCAAAAATATTATATCTAACAGTTTCAGAAGATGAATTAGTAAGTATTGATTAGTAAGTACAGATGTATAATTAAGGATTCTTCATAGTCCTTTATATTATTATCTCCTTTAAAAACTTTTTCATCCCCATTTTTGGGTATCGTATATCTTTAAAGCACTTGAAGATAATATTCGTCATTAAAAAAATTGACATAAAAATTTGCTATTTTTAGTACCGTACTGCAGTAATAACGTGATACTTGAATTGTTGCATATATAGCATTTTGTGCTCTACTGTCACTTCGTATATCGTATATCTTTAAAGCACTTGAAGATAATATTCGTCATTAAAAAAATTGACATAAAAATTTGCTATTTTTAGTACCGTACTGCAGTAATAACGTGATACTTGAATTGTTGCATATATAGCATTTTGTGCTCTACTGTCACATTTTTCGTCTTTCAAGCCCAAAAAACTAATATAGATACGCCCAAGTGGCTGGTATCGCTTTATTATAACTGTCATATTCTAATGATGTCATTTAATGATGATACGCTTTTCTTGGATTTGTTGAAACATTCGACATTTGGTGGCCGAGAAATAGGGAAGATACAGTCTTCTAAAGAGAACGCTTCATTCAAATTCCAATTTGAGTTCCAACTGCATTTATTTATATACCAGACTATGATGGTTGTCTCTCGTGTTCACTTAATATCGATATCACAGAGTATCCCTGTTCTGGGTTTTTTGGACAATTGTACAATTCAACAGTTCAACATTAATTGCTGGCTATGCGAACTTTCTAAATACACGCGGAATGGGGTATTCTAGAACAAGTACACAAAACAGGGCCTGTTGAAAATCTGGCTTATTAAATATCTACGATTTTCCTATAGATACAGCAGTAAAATATCTTCCGTCTAGACTTACTGTAGGTGTAGATGTCCTTAAAGGCATCACAATTAGCTGATTTCTTGATCTGCATTTTAAAAACGATGTATTTATAACCACTTCTATCTGAAGATATGTCTTAACCGTTTCAGATGCAGGAAGTAGCTTTAAAAATATTAGGTCATCTGTCGTGTGGAACAGCTTGGCATAAACATCGTATTGTACAGGTTAGTTCTTGAAGTAGATTCAAGATGAACAATATCTTCACGAATCCTTTTCTTACATCGTCCCTAAAATAGACTACGGTTATAGCTTCAAGAGAGAGAAGAATTTAACATCTATAAAATTTAAATTCTCGTAACTGTACTTGACTCCCACCAACGTCCAATTTATCTATTAATTTTGGCTATTTCTATGTTTATCATTAAAACTAGAATCGAATAAAAGATTTTACTGATAATCCAGTGTTTCCGCCACGTGTTTAGCGTAAAAATAGATTTCCAGATCCCTTTGTATTATTAACAGTATTTAAGTACGATGAGAATTTTTTATTTACTTTTGTTTATTTATTTGTACTTGTCTAGGAAGATTTTTCAGCTGGAAGATGTTTACAGATTGTTTTAAACAGCCGACCAAATAACGTGCAGATTTTATGCAATGCAGCATGCGTTGTAGCTAATCTGGCAACGAGTTCCGATGATCAGGTGTGTGTTTTAATCAATATTTCACGTCTGCTTGTGGTATTTTGGAGGTTATTATGCCCTGCGTTTTAACAACGATATCGAATTTAAAATTGCAAATAAAAAGATCATGGATTTCGTCAACATTGAATAACAACATCTAAATCGCTTGAGTGAGAATAAGGCTATTGTAATTCTCGCATAGTTTGCTCTGATGTCTATGTCGAGTAGATCATCAAAAAGTCTGTTGTGTCATGTGTGTCTTTTAATTAATAACTTATTTCAAAATTATTATGAGAAAATGTTCGCATGCTGTATCTCGATAATTGGCTATACTTCTATTATTGATACATTAAATATCTAACCGTAACCTCACTTTGAAAGATATAACATTCTTCTTTTCAAGTTTCAAGCTCTTGTTCTGGTGTGCTGTTATATAAATAACATGTAGTTTACATTTTTGTTAATGTTAGGTTCCCACTGCCACGATTCGTGCTGCGATTGAAATCGTGGTGATCTTATCAGGTCTTATCATATATTGAGGTCAGTCGTAGCAATCGTGTTGATCGTATCGAAACGTATCCGAACCTATCGGCACGTACCAGATCGTGGACTCGGGACAATCCTATCGTAACGCATCGCACGACAATGGCAGCCTAGCATTATTGTGCAGTTTCGTTGATGTTGCAAGAAGCCTATTTCTGTTTTTATACACTTTTAAGGATAAACTCTCTTTGACACATGACTGACATAGGTGTGTATACATAATAACTTTGTTTCAAGTAATAAAATAATAAGATAGCATTTAGTCTACAGGGACATATTGTTTTATTTAAGAAACGGATATGTAACAGACGACTTTTTAAACTTTAAAAATATAGGTTATTTACTTTGTCATTTCTGCATTGTTACAGTATGTGATTTATTTTCCAGATCTGTTCTTGCACTAGAGTCGTACTTGGTTGTGTCGGCACCAATTAAGGCTATAGTTCTGTCTTGTTTCCGGTAGATTCTACATATAGATGCACCCTTAAAGTTTTATGTATACTTATTTAGTACGTGACATCTTTTGATTGACAATGATAGACTCTGACAGCAATGCCATGCGTTAACGCCAGATTGCCTGTGTATTTCAGGATGGGTTGCAAGAATTAATGATATCCGTTTGCCATCTACTTCAATCAGACGTCTGCACACCAGAATCAGATCTTCTGTGTCATATTTCAAGAGGGATTGCAAACTTTGCAAGATTTGCTGAAAATGGTTCCAGATTAGTATGTTACTTTATATTTACACTCCTTAATCTGGATCAATAACTACAGGGGTAAATGTAGGATCTGTGATTTTATCCACTTTGGCAAATTGTATATAGCCTACATTTGTTGAAATTTGGCCATTTCATTCTAAAATACCCACGATTTTGACATATTTTCTGGGAAATATATCATTTGCAGTTATTTATCTGGGGTTTAAGAGTGAATAACGACAACATTTGATCAGGATAAAATTGAAATCAAGTTGATAATCCCTATTGTATCTAAATAATTCGCACATCATTAAGATGTGACACTTTTCCGGGTTCAAACGAGGTTATAGTCAAATATAATGTGAAAAAAAAACCTGTGCCATTTTTGATAAAATAAAAGCAATTTTTACTTTAAGATTATACTGCTGTACACTGTTTCATCAAACCTGTTATCCATTTTTTTTCTGTATATTTAAAAACCGTGCTAATATGCATTGAAGCACGATTCTGCACTTAGAGATAATGTTGCCATTTATTCTAGCTTCTGGTTTCAATCACTCTGACATAACATTGCAGCGGAAATAAAACATTCACCAGAAGCTATCATTATGCACGAACAAAAAATGAATGGCATTGTTTGTTCGACGGGTATTGTTTATTTTTTATGCAGTTAGGCACCATTGAATACATCATGGAAAAATGCATTAAATCACAGAGGGCCTGTATCAGACAGACTGGCATGAGAGTCATCTTGCAGTTGTTGACCTATAACCCTTCAGACGCTGTCATTAATATGATCAGGTATATATCTAGTTTCTATCATTTCATAGGCCATTCTCGGTATCCCCAGTGGTATGGTTCCATTCTACTCCACTACGGAACGATACCACTGAGAATACCGAGGATGTTCATAGACCAGCCCATTTCTTATCAATACACAACATGTGACTGCAATTCTGAAAATTTATTAAAGAGTAAATGGGGGTGGGGGATATAAATTTTAACGCATTCGCCTATATCCGTTTCTAAACAGTGGCAGGATATTTGGTTGGTTTGGCGAGTTGGAAGGGGCGTGGGGGGGGGGGGGTATGTCGTCGTCCTCCTCCAAGAATTTTTTCATGATTATGAATCTGGCCCGAATATAACATTCAATTTCATCCGCTAAAATCTCGCAATATTGCAGTAAAGTGAATGAAATTTAATAATATAGTGTGATTTATGTGGCGTCGGGCCAGTAGGGTCTCCATCTTAATCCGCCTCTATTTATGAATCTGTGGGATTTGGGAAAGTAGGGTAGTATGGTCTATTGTTAGTTTGCGCACAACCCGGAGATATAAAACTGTCCCTTGCCTGGGTCATTTCCTGTAATCGTACACATTTTGTATTAATTTTGATGCACGTGTGCATGGGTACAGTACTAACATCGAGGTATTTACTTTTCGATGTTATATAACTTATAGATGGGGTTCATTAAAAAGTAATGTCCTTAATGTACACTCGTCCAACATTAAAGCACTCTAATGAAAACACCTAATGTAATCATCAATACCAGGGTGTACCAATCAGCCAATTTGATATATTAAAGATAAATAACAGGTGTATATTTTAAAAAGTTTATATTTTAACTATATTTTACTTACTTTTACAGAGAACCACAATATTTTCTGAGAAGTATTATTCAGGAACCAGAGCTGTTGACATCTCTTCTGAACAGTTTACAGCAAATAATTCCCGATATTGTACAGCCAAAATAACAATTCTCAGTTAGGCTTATATTCGTTTTAACTAAGAAATGTATAAGAATTACAAATTGATCTGTCCATTATGCCCCCGGCAGACCGGGGTGGCGTCCTTACTGCACTGCTGCGACCGTATGGCGACCAGAAAAATGCACAAGGTAGCCGGCAAACGTGAACACAACGCGAGAAAATGTTCCAAAAAATTACAATCGCATAACCTTTGCGTTTGCTTTGAACATACTCAAAACAAACGTCGTGACTCGGCGATCATTCGCGACCATGGAGACCCTAGCCCGATATCTGGCGTTTACACAACGCATATGGCGATATTGACGCGCTCTGAGACCATTTTCCGTCGCCGTAGCAGCGCAGTAAGGACGCCACCCAGGTCTGACGGGGGTATATTAGTGTAAACGACCCTACTAATCGCTGACAAGAACCATCAAGAGCGGGGACGGGGGCAACGTATTGCAAACACTGGTAGAAAAGTAAAGATATTTTATAGATATGCATATTTTACGCACTATATCCAAAATTTAAATGATTTCATAAAAAAGTTATGGATAACTGAAATTTTGACAAAGCACCGTAATACCGATTGATTCCATGACCGCGTACATTTCATAGTACATGCAGTTTTAATTTGTAATAACTCCAATAATATTTATCCAAACGGTAGGTGTTCTAATATTTTACTTTTCTGCATTGAGACCTTAATGTGTTCATGCTGCAGAAAAATCAACGATACATTTACGATATAGATATCATTAATATATTTATTTACTGGGTGTATATAGTAATTAAAATGAGATTAACGACGTAACGCTAGTCATATAGGTTTACATAACCTCTCTATAGTTTAATATGCATTGCTATTGCTTCATCTGACTCAGTGGTATGTACAAATTTAAAACGCTATGATTCTAACTGAATGTATGACATTTAAGGTGAATATATAAGGCGGGAAATGAAGGGACTGCACATTCAACTAACACATTTTTGTCACAATAGTGCATCAAAGAAACGTTCGATATTTAAATTTATTAAAGGATAATTTTATGGCCTTGTTTTTTTTTCTCAAAGACCAAAGGTCTGTCAGATCATAGTAGATCACGAAAACGTAACCACACACCACACTTTGGGAAGAAGTGTTCCTTTAGCCCGTTGTCCTATGTCCTTTACTGTTGAATATAAGCAATATATAACCATTTTTAACGTGAAACTATCCATGGCCTTTTCTTATGGAAATTCACTTGATAACTTTAATATGTGCGTCCAGAAGGTGACAAGGACCCCTCTGAAAGCAATTATCAATCATAGGTTGTCATGCAACGTACATGTGCCCACAGCAGCTAAATCGTCTGGGCAGTCGACAATGGTTGTCGCATATTTAAAAGACACTGATATCCATGTTCACAAGGTTCAACAAAATAAAACAAGGTCCAAAACTATAGAAATTATATACGGAAATTGCTGAAATTCAATATGCTTCTTCATTTTACTAATTTCAATAATGCATGTAAATTTTATACAGATCGGACGATAAAATTTGTCGATAGAGCGTCACAAAGTGAAACAAGGGCCACGACTCTTGTAGTTTCTAACGGACTTTGCTGAAATTCAATAGGACTCTTCGTTTTACTAATTTAAATAATGCATATAAATTTAATACAGATCAAATGATAACTTTAGTCAACAAGGTTCAACAAAGTGAAACAATGACCATAACTATAGAAGTTGATGAAATAGACTTCTTCGTCTCACTAATGTAAACAACATATATAAATTCCATAATGATCAGATAATAAATGTGACCGACGGACGGGGGCGACGGCAATATACGACCACATTTCCATCGAGCCGTATAAAAATTGTTTGAAATTGACAGGCATTTGAGAATCAGTATTTGTCTTTCGACCCTAGGGCCCAGAGCAATAACTCAAAACTATTTGAAAATAAACAGGCTTTTCCATCTAATAACGTGAACAATACATTTGCAGACATACTGAATGAATATTGTAACCTCTTCCAGGGCGTTCACGGGGCGACGGCAATATACGACGACATTTCAGTGACTGTAGGCGTGTAAGGAGGCTTTATCATTAATTTTCATTAATGTATAATTATGATGCGATATAATTTAAATCGTAACGAACCCTATAACAAGATTTTCTTGAATTAAAATTTTGTAAATGTCCGCCCATATTTTGTCTATGACAACTACTTTGTGATAAAAACTTTTTGCAAATGGGAGGGCCATTGTTAGAGTGTCTGTCTAGATGAGGCAGATTATGGTTAGCCTACTCCTTAACCAGAACACCGGTGTTACCCATTTCTTTCATTGCACTATCGTATCCAAAGATGGAATGGGGTTTAACGCCTCGACCGACGACAATTTATTTTGACTAGCATACATGACGGTAATCCATATGGTTGCGTGTGCATTGCTAGGGAATGATTTTGCTCAGACGGACATTTCCGCCAACTCGTCATAGAACAAGCACTACCAATGCGTACTAGGCATCTCGATGGTTCGTCCTGTCCGAGCACACTTTCCTTTCCAGTCCCGTTACTTATCTCTATAGGATTCCATGACGACATCAAAACGCCTGTGAACGCACTGGGGTATACTCATTTTTATACGTGCACATTTATGGGTATAGTTCGGTTTTCTACATTAGGTTGCACTAATGAGTTGATAGGAAAAATATAACTTTTCATATAAAAATTGAAAGCCAATTAAAGCTAATGCTACAAAGTAGTCATCTTTTGACTGCTTTCGTATCCGAAACCTCCCAGTCATGGACGCCGGCCACTCGTATTTTATTGAGCGCATACATTTTCTATTGTCTACAAAAATAGAAAGTTAGGCTTCAAGTGTCTCGAACAGTAATGAAATATGATATAAATCTTTTGATGTTACATTAAACTATAGGTATCATATGTAAAACACGTGTAGAAAACAGATAGGAAATGGTGCGCAATTGGGTCTTTTCCTGAACTGGGAGGGAAATTTCACTTCCTTCCATCAAAAATAACCTATTTCCAGATGGTGTCGTCAAGTCTACAAAGTTAATGGAATCCCTGGGTCGTGCCTGTGGTACCAAACTGGCATCTCTTCGGTTCTAGTATTTCTGATTTCCTGTTTTAAGATACCATATGATATAAATCTATTGCTGACCTTCATATTTTTACAGTAAAGTAAAAATAGTCGTATAAAGTTAGTTGTGTGTCGGCAAACGTTTGTGTAGTATAGTACCGTACTTTCCACAAGTCCGACTCATTCCCAAATCAGATACTGCGGACTACGGGAAATGAAATGGGGTTTAAAGTTCTGCGTGGCGTCTCCATCCGGACTATTGAAACGGGCATACAGTGGGACCTTTTAAGGCTGTGGCTTAAACTATTACATATAAATGTTGAAGCTAGACTGCCACGAATATAACTCAGGGGTCTTCCATGGTTGTAGACCTACCAAACAATCTGTAATCAAAGCTCCTATATTTAACAGATATGTCAAGGCATACTTTGTTTGCCAATCGCTCTGTTGCCTGTCATTTCGTCCGGCGCTGGTTTCTCTTGCATATCACACGGGAGTTGTACAGGTGATTATTTTTAGTTGGACATTCCCATGTCTAAAATACCTACGCCTATATTCCGGTGAATTATTTGAGGAGTTATTTTTATTTGGACATACTCACTTCTATAATACCCACGCTTATATAATTGAATTATTTTAGAAAGGGCTACCGGTACTGATATTATTAAACGGACACTTCTTCTTTTATTACCAGCCAATAAAGGACATCATATAAGATAACCAAACTATCTCTTGTTTATTAAGTATTTTGTGAATACATCCATCATAAGGCTGCCAAAATAAACAATTCAAACAGTGGTTGATATCTCAGATGTGATAGATGTTGTTGAACTTGGTACTTTTTTTCCTGATTAGATTACCGACCTCATAATTAAAACTTCAAAACATCCTCATTCCCATGTTGCTAAATATTCAGTGAAGGTCAAAAAAAGTAGAAATCCAATAGCTTGAAGAGTGACAAGTATACTTTTGGTTTAACTTGGCCTATTTTAGTATGCATATTTAATATCTGGGTGATATCCTAAGTATGGGGAGAAAATCTAAAAACACAAAGAGCATTGTAAGATCTTGAACCTACTTTACTGTAAAGGAGCTAAATCTCAAGCTACAGCTTAGGGCCTTGTATTCTGCAGACTTCACTAAATTTCAGCTCTTAAAATTTTATGTTGCTTATTATGTGTACTGTAAGATTTGTAGACCTGTTAATTGCCTCTGAATAGGATAAACTCTCTTACTAACACGAAAGTAATAGACTTAAGATATAATACTTAGCCGCCTTTAACCTTATTTTTGAAAGAGATTTTCCACGTTACAGGGGCCGGTGCTTAAGGCTTTGAATCTACGGAGACTCCTTAATATTCACAGAATAAAACTACATGTATTTAAATAGATTTTTTTATTATTTATTATCAATCTTTATATTTCTTATTTTCTACTAGCAAACGAACCTGAGCCATAATAGATGTGAAACATCAACAATGTATAAAGTTATAATACATGTATAATGTGCTTTACAGAAAAAATAATAAAATGACTAGAATAATATTTTGTCATGCAGAGTATTACAGTATAACAAATAAGACACTATTTAACAAACAAGACTTTACTAAAACTTCATCTTGGAATAACTATGGACCCTCAGTTATTCCAAGATGATCAAATTCGTTTGTTAAACAGGGTAAATGACACACAGCATCAATGTGATGCACATTAAAAGAAACTTTTAATATTCAAAAATATGTTTAATAAGGCACTTAATGGTGAAAGAATTCTGAGACATAACAAGGAAACAACTAATAAAATTATTTATAACAAAACAAAGCATCATAAAATAGAATATCGTTTCACACAGGAGTTTAAAATATTTAAATTCTTATCAAGGGAAGAATGTTTATAAATGGGAAAAACGTGCTAAGAAAGAAGCTTCACACATAAGCACATCATTTTTTTTTATTTAAAAAATATCTAATTTATTAGGATGTGCTAAGGAAAGTGGGGGAAGTATAATATAAATAAATATCATTATCAAGTAATTCTCTGCAATATTCTTGTTAAGATGTTTATATTGATGTTCCACAAAATCTTTGATAAACACAACTTGAGAAGATTGTTTACATTATACGCATGTACTTATCACTATGTGCCGGTCATTTTAATGTAAACATCTAACCCACTGGTACATTAAGCAAATTGATTACTCAACCAAACAGCCTCCATCATAATTTTCATTCACACTGAGATGATTAGAAGTTTGAGTATATAGCAGATGAAATATGTTAGTTTCTTTGTGGAACTCATAGAAAATATGTAGGGAACCTTTAAGGCTGAATTCATATGGGGATGAGTTTTTGAAATTAACTTTGGTACATTCTACTCTGTGTTTTTGAACCCAAAAAATTTGGGCAAAATGTTCGACTCTTTAAAGAAATAACTAATTCTTTTTTTACTCTACAGATTTACCAAACTTAACATTTCTAAAATGTCCATATTAAGAAAGACAGGTTGTCAGGCAATGAAACATACATCCACAGCAGCTAAAACGTCCGAGCGTTCAAGGAGGGTTGTTCAAGAAGGGTTGTCGCATATTTAATCTTTTGTGGGTAATGGGGGGGGGGGGCATTTACAAGACAATTTTATACAGATCAGATTATAATTTTCGTTCTTTGCAGTTTCACAAGGTGCTAAAAAGTAAAACAATGGCCATAACTCTAGAAGCGATTGACTGAAATTTCTGATATTCAATACACTTTTTCATTTTCCTAACACTATAAATTTCATACATATCGGATGATAACTTTTGTTGTTAGAACATTCACAAGGTTCAACAAAGTGAAATAAGGGCCATAACTCTAGATGTTATTAATGGAAATTGCTGAAATTAAATAAGCTTATTCATTTCACTAATTTAAATAATGCATATAAATTTCATACAGATCCGATGATAATTTTTGATGTAAGAGCATTCATTTCACTAATTCAAATAATGCATATAAATTTCATATAGATGGATGATAACTTTTGTAGTTAGAGCATTTACAAGGTTCAACAAAGTAAAACAAGGGTCATAACTCTAGATGGAATTAACAGAAATTGATGAAATTCCATAGGATTCTTCATTTAACTAATTTAAATAATGCATATAAATTTCATACAGATTGGATGATCACTTTTGTCGTTAAAGTGTTCAGAGGGTTCAACAAAATGAATTAAGGACCATAACTCTAGACGTAATGAACAGAAATTGCTGAATTTCAATAGGATTTCTCGTTTCACTAATATAAATAATGCATATACATTTCATACAGATCGGATGATAATTTTTGATGTTAGAGCATTCATTTCACTAATTCAAATAAAGCATATAAATTCATATAGACGGATGATAACTTTTGTAGCTAAAGCAAAGTAAAACCAGGGCCATAACTCTCGATGTAATTAACAGAAATTGATGAAATTCAATAGGCTTCTTCGTTTAACTAATTTAAATAATGCATATAAATTTCATACAGATCAAACGTAATTAACGGAAATTGCTGAAATTCAATAGGATTCTTCATTTCACTAATTTAAAGAATGCATATAATTTTCATACAGATCGGATGATAATTGTTGATGTTGGAGCATTCACAAGGTGCAATAAAGAGAAAAAAGGGCCATAACTCCAGAACAAACTAACAGGAATTATGAATTATAAATAGGCTTCTTCATCTGACTAATGTAAACGACATTCATCAGTTTCAAAACAATCAGTTGATAAATATAGTCTGTAGAGTGTTCACAAGAAATTGTGGATGACGGACCGACGGACGGGAACGATGGCAATATACAACCACATTTCCATGTGGGCGTATTTAAAGATAAAAGAACAATTTGCTAAACTGTTAACATTTGCCTTGATCTAAGCAACTAGTTGCTGTGTCTGTTTTCTGACTTGTGTCATTTTTGCAAGATGAGATACTATTACACTTTATACAATAAAATGCTTTCTGTCTCTAACAAAAACGTTTAGTATAAAAAGATAACTAATGAGACTAAAAGTAAAATAAGCAAATTCAACAGCCCTATACTCTGTAACTTTATAAATAAAACATGTGGATTTCATTAAATTTCAACAATTATAAAATAAAGGCAGCCTGAAACAATAACATTACATTTTGACATTTATATACTGTTGTCTGTAGATTCAATATGGATATCTCAGTTTTTGTGTAAACTACACTACCGGTAATTCTTAATACTGGTTTTAGAACAACTGTGGAACACTGGATTTCAACAGAAAAGGCAAAAGAAGGCGTAGCATAAGTATGTATATAAAAAATTGAAAATAATTTAAAAAATAAAATAATACTTAAATACAAGTTGACATATCATTCTTGAATGTGAGAATCTCAATAAAAGAATAGCATGAAAAATAAAAATTCATAAAAGTTTTTTGGAGAATAGGCCTACTTAAACATGCATTATGCAAGAGCTAATTCTACCTATTGCAGGTATTTTTTAGGCCTGAAATGTTATCTAAATTGTTAATGAGACATTACTTAACATATCAAGACCATAATCAACTCTCGATGCCATCGTAAGCCTGCGATGTTTAGTGAATTTGAATACGTTTCGGTTTGTTGTGCATGAAATAACTATACAAATGGATAATCAAGACTTTGTTCATTATCGTAACAACGGTAGTGATGACAATCGAGGCTAGTCTCAAATTGGATCACTAATATCTAGGTTTATCTATATTGTAACTATTATAGCGAGAAATGTCAGCTTTTTATCTAATCTTACCTAATGCCCCTTTAAGCTTAACTTGTGTTCCTTTCTCTTAAAATCTACATAAAGTTTGAAATACTTTATTAGTTAAAGTTCACCAAATCACTATAATAAAATAAGATATCTTCATCATAACAAAATACAGATAACAAATTGGTCCAACAAACAAAATGTCATTTTTGTATAATGGCCTCTATAATAATGATTTATTAAAAATTATACCAATTATATATAGATTTCAAATGGTACTTAATATAAACTTATGATATTCCTTGCTTAGATAAATAAAACCGCATAATAACATTGATTTGGGACTAGAAAAAATATCTTAAACTTTGGCAATACTGAAATGTGACAAAATAAAATGACTAGATGTATCGTAATATAACAATAATAAATATAAATCTCATGGCAAGAACAGATTTGTATATTCTAAAAAATAAAATGATGTTCATCAATACTTGTTAATGACAGGATAAAGATTGAACATGTATCGAGTAAAAATATTTGTTGTAATTATAGAATTCTTATTTTGACAGGTGTTTAGCATCACAGTACATCTATCAAACACCATCATAAAGTCATGCACTGCTTGAGTTGCCATTTTTATAGTATACCAACTTACATGCAAAGCCTTCAGAATATACCATATGGTCTTGCAGTTGGCCTAAACTGTTTATCCAGATGAGATTTGGTTGACCAGTTTAAATGAAATTAGTTCAAACATTATTAAACCTTTCTGCCATAAACCTTCAAAGCTCAAACTTTATAAAAACTAACATGAAATAAAGATCCAATTTTTAATTAGATTGGGTGTTCACTTAAGCCAAGCATTGGTTGGGGCGATTTTCGATTGTTGAATACCAAAAAAATTTGTTTCTAAATATGACCACAGGTCTTGCATTTAATTTGAGCTACCCTAGTCTGGTAAACCAACTTTTTTAGCAGTAAATGCAATACGTAACATTCCATTATTGATTTATTTTTATCACAAGGATGACTAGCTGTGTGTGGTTTATATAGGTAACAAAATTCAGGTGATGAAAGGCTAATAAGGCAAGACTTTGTTATAAAGATTAATATTTCTCACGACTGGGGTTATATTGGCCACGACTTTTCTTAATAAAACTTCTGTGTATATCCACTTCATCTTTAAAAGCCAAGAGACCCAGCTGGGCATGAGATGCCTCATTTAATGCTTTCGATCGTATACAGCTTCGATATTGTTCTGGAGTTAAATTAGGATCACAGTATTTTTCATGCCACAGATGAAATATACCCGGATCGGTTGCACGTACCACCATATAGTCACTACGTACAAATTTCTGATACAAAAATACATCTTCCCCACCCCACCCAGTTATATGCTCATCAAATCCTTTTATTTTGAGAAAATCGGAACGATACTGACAAGTCATACCATAGCCGAAGTCCCTCCAAAATCCAGTATCTTTAGATATAACTAATTGATCTTTTAAATGTGGAATGGTCATGTCTTGCAGAGCATATACAACATTAGGATTATATAAACTGAAAACAATAGGATAATAAACCCGTTTTGCCCTATCTGTATTTAAACGACATCGTTCGAGAAATTCAGCACTAAACACTATATCCACATCACACAAAAACAACAAAGCGTCTCCACTCTTCCAGTTTAGCGCGCCAATCTGTAAGCCTCTTCCTCGTGCAAATTTCTCATTTAGCGTCACTAATTTCATGTGTTTAAATTTATTTTGTTTAGCAATATGAGACATGATGTTCTTAACTTCTTGTAACCCCTCCATTCCAAAATATACCACGGTTAAATACACCCTTTTATCCTGTTTTATGCAGACAGTCACAAAACGTTCCATAAATAAACGAAATGTGTCCAATCGTCCAGACAGAGGTAGAATAATATTAATCCAGTCTTGATTGGTGTTGACTGGATTCTTCTTAACTATCATTGGTGGTCCAAATGGCCGCATAAGTGTAACTTTTCTATATGCATTATTTCCATTTATATCTATATCTCTAAAATAAAGTTCGTAATGGGAACCTGTAGTAGGTTCAATTCTATAAATACCCTCTAAGAAATCTTCATAGGAAAACATTTTGGCTTTTGCTGAACGGTTCACATTGAGTTTTTCAGTGGCATGTGTTATAATTTCCAATAAATCTTTTTTCTTGTAGCCAATTGGTTTTTCTATGACACGTTTTCCAAGTCCTGGATCAACTAAATAAACACGATTTAATGTAAAGCGATTGAAAGCCACTACATCATATTCTGTTTTTAATGAGACACCTTGAAGAATTTCGGCAGATTGCAACTGTTCGTTGAAAAATTGTGAAAAATCAGAAAGATTTTTTGGCATGACATGATATGTTTGAATTTCTACTTCTTTGACTCTAGCTTCAGATTCAATGTGATGACTTACATTCATGTAGCGGATATGAGCCTGTTTTAAACGTGCTTCCAGATTATCAATTTGTGACTGTAGACCTTTAATCGTTTTAAGATGCTGTACCTCCTTCTCTTGAAGAACGTCTCGTACATGACGTTTGAGATCTTTATGATCATGGGAAGATGTTGGTAGACCGTGTGTTGATTGGGCTAGATGTCCGTCCATATATAGACCACAGCGGGCTATAAACATCATGGTCATCACAGACAGGCTGAATAATAAGAGAAGGATACGAGGCATCGTTTTCATCTTTTAATCTCTTGAACCAAGACATCACTTCAAAGTTTTTCTTTATAATACTCTGAAAATACAGATCATTAAGAAATAATAATTATCATAAATAATGTAATTTGTGCATATATCCAATCATAGGAAAGTGAGTCAATTATTTAGATGTGCGAAAAAAAAAAACACATCCACAAGTGCACAAAATAATAATTATTATGTAATTTGTGCATATATCCAATCATAGGAAAGTGAGTCCAATTATCTAGATGTGCGAAAAAAAACCCACATCCACAAGTGCACAAAATAGCCAATTAACAACTGTAATTTGTACAAGAGTAGGTGTGAATCTCTCCTCTCTTGCATCCTAACCATATTTGGACACCAGTAAATAAGAGGAACCTATTAGTCTCAACATGGTAATTGTCATCAATACATTAAATTGCATTCACTAAAATATGTATGGAATATCTTTGAATATTTTTGATTTTGGCTTTCATAATTGACTTATTTGAATACAGGCTATTGACAATAGTATAAATCTAAAAATAATCCAATCAATAACTGAAAAGAAACAATGGGCAATAAAAATGACTTATCAATTATTTTCTCCAACTAGACAAAGGCATAAACAGAAAACCCAAACAATTCTACTGGTATTATCTTTCTGTCCAGGATATGTTTAGATAAGGCTGTGCTGATTGATTAGATTTTATCTGAGAACAGGTATAAAATACTTGTAAGTTTTGCTCTTCGCAATTTTGTGTACATCCCACCCACCGTTATCAAGGAGAAATTGGCTTTCTTCCTTGATAAGACACGCTGAAAATCAACCATCTGTGGGTCAGAGGAGTGCAAATGATGGAAGATTTGCCTGAAATCCACTGAATGGTGCTATAAAGTTTATCAAGAATGTTAAGATGAAATATATGTCCGATAAAAAAAATTCCTTCCGATAATATTTCATTGATATAAACTGGTGACTTGAATTTAACTACACTAATTAAAATAACCTATATAGTAAATTAGTTTTAACATATGGTCTTTGTATCTGTGTAAAACAGACCATCAGATGAACTTTGATACTAATTAGATAGAAAACCAAAGTGCAAGCGGTAACAAACATTAGACAACAGGGGATAAGTAATACAATATACTCAGTAGAAACTCCTACTAGAAATACTGCTTAGTAATAATCAGTAATTGTATTCCATAGAATACTGTCCTATCATGGACCTTATATACATTATAAGGTCCATGGTACTATGTATATATTTTCAACATATACAGAGAAATAATCTTTAAGTGGCATTTAGTAACTGGATAGAGCAATAAACTATAACACATACTTATGCAAAAACAGCTACTTATTAATTTGGGCGACATTTCGAAGAGTATATTCTCTCAACGTTATTAAGCTATATGGAGAAAGATCTGCAATATTTGGATTATCAAAGCAATCAATTAAGCTTTCAGGCAGATATCTGCCTTTATTGTCCTGACATTCATCTTGATACTTTATTAAATCAGTACACATCCATAGAAAATATATTTTGAGGATTTTTATCAAAAAGTTACCAAGGCATGAAACATATGTCACATTACCTTAACTTTCTGAAGATCTAGTGTATTTGAGTCAAATTTGTACGAAAAACTAACATAAGTTAATTATTGCAAAACAAGGCTGCCTCCCACCCCCACCCCCACTATGACCTTCCACATGGTTCTACCAATATGGTCTAGCTATTATTTTGGAAGTATGTCAACAACACAATCTTTTATAAAAACATAAATATATAAAATTCTTTACAAATAAATCAAACTCTACTGTACCTTGAATAAACCATGTTACACAATGTAGCGTCAAAATACGTATTATACGGTAAGTATATATACAAATTATACCTTTATATGAAAAGAATGCTGTATTCCACATCAAAATAATAATGTTTCTACTTATCATTAATGAATAAATGTTGATAAATTACCTTTAGTCCAGTACTTGAGTGTGAAAGTTTTTCAAAGCCATAACTAAAGCATCTGCAGTCACTATAGCGAGAGCAGATGTAAAAATGTGGTAGCACGCCTTAGGACCAGGTTAACTTATGTCCATTAAGTTCACCTAGTATTGTTTTCACAGATGTGTCTGCTTAAAGTTCCAGTATCACCATCTTCTTATCTATATAAGTTAGATAAATAAACTGTGATTGGTATAGCAGACGGCCAACCGATAAATAAACAAAATAAACAGGTAAACAAATACACTACACTCTCAAGGCTGCAGTGTTGCATAATCATTGATTACCAACAAAACACTTCATACACTATGCATTAATTGTGTTGTCACTTACACAGCTCGCCCTTTCCTAACAAACGACACAAGATAAGATAATCAATTTTGAAACCGAAAACTTGGAACAGTATTCAACTACATGTGTTAATATTAATTCCTCTATTTTGGAAAGTTACCAATACTTCTTAAAGTGATTTATTAATGTTAGAAACTGTGACTGTAAAAGGTTTGATGGTAAAAGCCAACTGTTTTTATTGTGTATCCATCTGTATGTTTATGCACCATTTTAACAAGATCTTGTAAACGGCTCTATCAGAATTAACCAGCGGTTGCCAGACAAGGCAAGATACGCCAACATTTTGCAAGAGATGGATAGGGAACTAGCTAAAAACAAAAGCAATTTTTCGTACAATCAGGGGTCATAATCCAGAAAGTTAAGGTCTGAAGTGCGCAAATATGGAAATGGACTGAGATCTTTGGGACATAAACATATATTTTAAGTTTCATCAAAGTCGAATAAAAATTGTGATCTCTAGGGTCCACAACCTTCGTATTACATACTTTTACATAATTTGTCATGCAGTTTCATTTCGATTTTCCCAAAATTCAAATTCAACCTTCATTATGAAGGAATAGTGAAATATTAAAACGGTTTTTAAAATCGGATAAAAAAAACTGTTACCTCTAGAGAACCCACAAGCTAAAAACAAGATTTTTCGCACAATCAGCGGCCATAATCCAGGAAGTTACGGTGTGATATGTGCAAACAGCGAAAGGAACCAAGATATTTGGGACATAAACATATATTTTAAGTTTCATCAAAATCTGATAACAACTGTGACTTCTAGAAGGTCCACAATCTTGGAAAGACATACTTTTACACTGTTTGCTTACAAGGAACTGCCATTTTGTCAAGCAGTTTTGGTTTGATTTTCACGAAATTGGAACTCAACCGTCATTAGGGTGTAACGATGATCTTTTTAAACTTTTTTTAAAATTAAAATATATTCACACGTTTTTTTAAATCAGATGAAAATTGTGACTTATAGGGTGTCCACAAGCTAAGAACGTGATTTTTCGAACAATCAGGGCAAAAATCCATTAAGTTATGGTCCGATACATGCCAATATCTTAAAGAACCAAGATCTTTGGTGGATGGACCTATATTTCAAGTTTAGTCAAAATCGGATAAAAATTGTGATCTGTAGAGTGTCCACAATCAAATGTGGATTGACACACGGACAGGGGCGACGACAATATACGTCCACATGAAAAAAAACCCTATTTCAGGATTAAATCAAAATTACAGTTTATAACTGAAAAGTGTTATACAGGGTTAGTGGTCACTTCATTCAACCAAGAAATTTTAAGACTAACATAAATTTTGAAGCCTTAATTTTTCTTACAAAGTCTCTCTAGTTGCCAATATAAGGAAAACTGAATATGAAGAGAACTCACAAGGTTAGGTATTATGGCTACACTACCCTTTTGGAAGTACAATCGACGATAGTAATTGGCCATATTGAAAATATAATCTGCGGGCAATGCTTGGAACCACTCCGTCACAAAAACTCCTAAAAACTGTCTGTAAACTCCTAAAATTACACTATGCAGATATTAGACACAACAGGTCAAAGCCGGTCGCACTACACTTCAACTTAGATAGACATACAAGTATAAATGTTATGATTAAAATTATAGAGCTTTTTAAGACTGACCCAGATAACTGCAAAAACGATGCCATAAGGAAAGCCAATGAATTCAAATGGATTCACACTTTAAGAACATTCGCATCGGATGGCATTAACGATAAGATGTAGTCCCGAGGGGTCCCCCACTTTATTGCTTACTTCTAAAATTATGGTTGATTGTTCTAAAATGTCAAATGCATAAGAAGAATTCATTTAAATATATCAACAACCCACTATGTATTACAAAAATATAATGCCATAATTTCAAATTGTCCATAATTCAGAGAAATGATACAATTTACAATAGATTGATGTTATTTTCATAGAGTTCTAATCTAAATTGGTAAATACACTTACTATAATGAACACCTGGTTCTGATAACTTTGAACATAACCTAAAACTGTTATATTCTATTGAGTAACATGATATGCATCTACAGACTTTTTTTTCTCTAATGATCTAGGTGAGATGTCATGTTCTGATGATGAGGATACCAGATTGGCATATCATTATCTTCCTTACAGACCTTCAGACAATACAAAGCAGACATATCTATATGTTTAATTATTTGATATACACCGACATCGAAGCAGTCCATAATGGGTGTCAAACTGTGAATCTTAAGGTAAATAAAAGGTAAAATCTCTTCAACTAAATCTTAAGTTGATTAAATAGTTTCAATGGCATTTAGTAATTGAACTGGAATATATCGGTCACAGTTGAAACGTTGCTCAGTAATAAGCAATAATTGTCTTCTATAGAATTGTGACCTGTATCATGGACCTTATAATACATTAAGGTCCATGCCTGTATAAAGTTGATTAGCTAGAAAGTTCACAAGTTTCTACAAATGAGCAAGGGCAATAACTCTAGAGGTAATTAAAGAACTTGTTGGAGTCAGACATGTTTTTCTAATTTCACTAATCTGAATGTAATTAATGGAAATTATTGAAATTCAATAGGATTCTGCATTTCACAGTACTGTATATAAATTTCATGTTAATAACTTTGGTTTCCAGAGCATTCTCAAGATTTCACAAAGTGATTAAGGACAGTAACTTTGAAAGTTCAAAAGTTCCTTTGTCTCAGTA